ATAACATAGAACAATATTTAACATAAACTGTTAACTGATACTTTTATTTTATAGGATATTTCATTCATTATTTGATTAACATTAGTGTGGCACTATTAAAACAAATTGTGTAAAATTTTGTTAGTAGATAGAATTTAAGAGTTAATTTACGGTTTTGTAGTTTGAAATAGTATTACGGTATAATTTAATATAAATGTGAATATCTGTAAAATAAATAACTATTAATAACTTTGTTAAAATAATATAGTTTTTATTTAATACCGAAATAAGTGTTGATTTATTGATTTGAGCGAATCCTCCGATAGTTAAGCCAAACGTATGACTATTTCTAACAGCAGTCGTAAACGTAAGCCATTCCCTGTACTCACTGTCCGACATATCCCTCACATTCACGCCATTCAACGCATCATTAATTTTATTACATTCATCACCCAATCTATCGCTTAATAAAAATGTAACAATTGTCTCAATTATTAAAACCAAAGTGTCCATGGTTAAATTCTCGAAATAATTTTGCACGATTGCAGACTTCCCATATGATATGATAATAAATATGCTAAACATTATTGATACTGTTGTCAGTATAATCTTTATAATGATTAACCATGATATATGATTGTCGATTAATTTTAATGATTTATTGGCATCGATATAAAGTGTTTTATTGTTTGAAAAGATCATGATTAAATTATTTTTACCACAATTTGCCGAACAGTTGACAAATAATTTATCTATTAAATAAACCAAATTAATCACATGAAATAATATATTTAATTACATAAGGTATTATACATTAGAATGTTACTTTAGAATGTATTTACCTTTAGTAAATTTATCGATGGTATTTTTTATCTGAACAAATTTTTCGTAGAAAATAAGTAAAATTAGCCAGATTATGCACGAATATGACCAATATGATGTGAATACAATAAGATTAGTTACTAGCACTATGATGCTAAACATTTTGTTGCTAGATCGAATATGAATCAGTACTAAAAAGCCTGATATAAATAACAATATTAAGATCCACGTGCTTAGGATTACAAGTATTTGCATCCTCATTTGCTTCAATGTTATTCCCCTGATACATTTTACTATTAAATTAATATCTAGCTTAAAATTAACAAAATAAACTATTAAAATATGTAAAATGTTTGTTAAAATATATTCTATCATATATATTATAACATGATGAACATAAGCAGTGGGTTTGATAATATTTGAAGTGAATAGTTTATAAATATTATATGCAAAATAACTGATTGTGGATAAATGAAACAATGTAAATAAAACAAATGTTGAGTAACCATAATATTTAATGCATTTATTTTGCCGTATATTAAAGTCGCGATCAATGGATAGACCGTTAAATGTTAGGCCAATAATGCGATGAAACCAAAGCAATGGTTTAATGGGTAAACGCAATAATTTTTTAATTACCATGTTAAATTTTCTATCTATACTGTATTATAAATATATTATCTGAAAATGTTTTACTGATGTGCTATAAAATAGTTTTACTTCAAATAGATAATTATTGTGTTTACGACATATTTAATATATAATGTTGCTTAATGCAAAATTTCTTTATAAATCAATTTATAATTGTATTAATATAATTAAAAAACATTTAAAATGGTATCTAGGTTATTGCAATTTTAGTATACGATGCTAAGCGTTTGTTGTTAATAACAAAATGTTACCACGCTATTAACAATATAATAATTTTTTAATAATTTATTAATAATAAACAAATTAAAATATTACGAAAACAAATTAGGTCATTATTATTTTCACTTACATAATAGACCGTTAAAGGTTAGGCCAATAATGCGATGAAACCAAAGCAATGGTTGTATTGAAAAACGCAATAATTTATTAATACCATGTAAAATAATTATTAACAAATTATTTATTTCCCATTATTTAAACATAATCGTTTTCTATATTTAGTTGTCAAATAAAATTAATTACCTGTTGATTATAATAATAATATTAATTATAAATAAATTATAAATAACATATTCTTGTGTTATCAGTTTGTAATGAAATAATTAATAATAATTTTTATCGTGAAATATTGGGGTTTCGGTTATATTTCCATAGTGTTTTGTAACATTGTATTTGAATGCTTGCCAAATTTTTGTGGTTACTATCAACAAACCCTTGTAAATGTTATTTGATACATCTATTATTTAGCTTTAATTCTGTATTTAAAAATTATTAAATTTATTTTAAAAACTATTTATTTAACCCGAAATAAACTATAGAGAATAATTAGAAAATTTAGTCTATTTTAACTTTTAATCGAGGGGACTACACAAGAGACCTACAAAAATAATATATTAGTCTTAGACGATATATTATCTATTAACCAATGACTTAAATTGTTTAAAAGGGTACAATCCGGTAATCATAACTCCAATAACCATTCCCGAACCCGCCGACCCCGAGAAGTGAAAAATGCTGCGGCAAAAGATCGGGGTAAATCATAGTAAAGATTTTTATATATGATATTGTTGGTATACATAAGCTTACGCCGTACAACTAGTTGTAACTATTTAAAAGTCATTGGGGAGATTCCAGGATCCGATATAGAGACATATACCCAAAATATAGCCATTTTTAGCCTATTTTTAGACAGGATTTTAAGAAATTCAACAAAAAAAAATTTACTAAATTTTTGTTACAATTTCTCTCATACCTAAAATATACTCCAGTTATCCCTCTATGAGATGACTGTTTTCAACTTTCTCTACAATCAGTCCTTTATGACAGAAATGGCAAAATAAAAGTAGTGGTTGAACTAGACATGACTCACTTCTTTGGCTCTCAGTGCAGCCATTTTTAATTCAAAGCCATTGAACAGCCGCCCGAAAAATGGTCAATAGTTAGCAATTATTATGACCAAAACATTATATGAAATAAATTGTTGCTTCATATTAAAAATATAATTTAAAATTTTTATTACCAAAATATGATTACTTTCCCGAAGGCGTAATAAATAAAACTCTGACATTAATGTAATTTGCAATAACAACATAATTATAATTACACAGCCGATTTTATGTTAACAACAATTAATTTATTTATTTATTATGCCATGAATTGATTAATAAATATAATTATTATGATTGACACTGAAATAACAATTGTAATTAGAAAAATGTCTTTAAAATACACGGGATAGATTGTGATTAACTATAATATATCAAATAAAAATAATAGTTATATAAAGTTATAATAGTTAAATAAATAAATATAATTTCATTTTGATGTTATAATAAACTACAATAATAATGAAAGCCATTTAGATTAGCTTACACTAACTCATAAACAAACAATAATAATCACAGAATTTACATTTAATATTCAGTTTAAATTATAAATTGACTTTAAAATACACTCGTTCACAAGTCTGGATGGGTACTCAGACTTTCATGAATAATTTTGGTTAATGCTAAGTCTATGGCATAGGAATAACATGGGTAATGCTAAGTCTATGGCATAGGGATAACATGGGTAATGCTAAGTCTATCGGAGTAATGTTATTTCAATGGGGTAATGCTTTTTCTATACAGATATACTAAATGAATCTAACATAATAAATAAAACTAATTTTTGTAAAAAACATTCAAAATTTTCAAAATAACAAAAGTGAAAGTATTCCAACAATCGTATTGAAAAATTTAAAATGTTTTGATGCATTTCCCGAATAGTGGTTAACGTATAGCATCGCTGTGTGTGAGTTGTTTAACCACTAATTAGTTTTCAAATATGTTTATACTGAATTGTAGCTGGATAAATTTGTGATTGTTTTGATTAAATAATTTATATAAGTCATAATATTTCCCGCCACTTATAATAAGTGAGACGACTTGGGCCAATTGAGATTCATGTTACAATTAATTTTTGTACTAATAATGAGTATTGGCTGATCAATAATTTTCAATATCTTGATTGATTAAAAGTCAAATTTACCAAGGTGAGTCAAAAGTCATCATCGACTCCAAACCTAAGGAGGACTACATAATTGTAAACAATCAAAAACAACTTCAATAAAAATGAATTTTATTAAAAAATATTAGAACATCGATTTTCCAAGAATAAAACATCCAAATTTGTTTAAAAATAAGAAATAAAACTGTGATAACCGGGGAACTTAGTAAATTATGCTGTTATTAAATTGTAACACAATAATTAATATGTAAACGTAAAGGTTGGTGTGATGCCCATTGGTGTGATAGCGGGCAATTGGGAATTATTGTTATAAAATGAAAGTACATTCAATAAGTAGTCGAGTGTGTCCAAACTCCCTCGGGTCTGGCAGTAGTGACCACTTTTATCGGCAANCCCATTGGTGTGATAGCGGGCAATTGGGAATTATTGTTATAAAATGAAAGTACATTCAATAAGTAGTCGAGTGTGTCCAAACTCCCTCGGGTCTGGCAGTAGTGACCACTTTTATCGGCAAAATTTTTAAAATCCAAACTTTTAATTTATCATATAATATATCGATAGAAAGGTATGGATGAGAGGAATATAGTTCTGAAGGAATTTTCAAATTCGGATTTAATTAGAAAAAGTTATTAGAAAAGAAATAAGTTATACATAAGAAATTTCGTAATAATTGTATACTTTTATTATTACGAGTAACATAATTGTTTTATTACACTCACACTAATTTTAATTGCGATTACAAAAATAATTAAATTACTGAAATATAAATGGGTAAAATTCTTAATGCAAAATTTCAGATAATAAAATAAAATTAACTTATTTGCAAGTACACTTAGAAGTTGAGTCGACTTTATTATCTGTCAATCATTGTTGACCACATCCCTCAATTTGATGGAGGGGGATGAATTTCCCCCTTGGGTCGCTGTGCGATAAGTATTGATAATTGATAACAGTTTATTTTCAAAAACAAAATATTTAGTAAAACAATAGGTTAATATAGCAATAATAAATATGATCCTAATTTAATGCTGATACAATTATTATTTTGCTGTTTGAAACAATATGACACTATAATTGAGTATAAATGCGAATATCTATAAAAATAAATAAATAATTATAATTATAGTATAAATAATGAATTCTATACCGAAATAAGTGTTGATTTATTGATTTGAGCGAATCCTCCGATAGTTAAGCCAAACGTATGACTATTTCTAATTAAATCCGAATTTGAAAATTCCTTCAGAACTATATTCCTCTCATCCATACCTTTCTATCGATATATTATATGATAAATTAAAAACCTCCGATAGTTAAGCCAAACGTATGACTATTTCTAACAGCAGTCGTAAACGTAAGCCATTCCCTGTACTCAGGAATAGACATATCCCTCACATTCACGCCATTCAACGCATCACTAATTTTATTACATTTTTCATTTAAAGTATCGCATAATAAAAACGTTATAATTGTCTCAATTATTGTAACAAAAGTGGCGATGGTCAACATCTCGGACTTTCCAAAGGATATAAGCAAATATATACCCAACATTGTTAATGATATTGTTAGTATAATTTTTGAAATGATTAGCCATGAAATATCATTGTCTAGTGATTTTAATGTTTTATTAGCATCAGTATATAATGCTTTATTTTTTGCTAATACCATGGTAATATAATGTTTACGACAATTTAAATAATGGCCAACTCTTAATTCATCTATCCAAAACAAACCACATGATAAGTAATGTATATATGAAAAATATAAACAAAATTTCGTAAAATCATGTATTTAATTATTAAAATAATTATAAATGAATTCACCTTTAGTCAGCATAACAATGTCATTTTCTATTTGAACAAGATTGTTATAGAAAATGATTAAAATGAACCAAATAATGCACGAATATGACCAATATGAATTGAAATATAATAGATTAATTATTAAAGCAACATGGGTAAACGTAGTTTTACTAGATTGAAAATATCTCATTACGATAGAGCAGTTTATGAATATTATTATAACCGTCCAAATGCATAAAATTACAATAGTATACAATGCTAATTTTATTTTGCTAGAATTAATTTTCCTGAAATATTTTACTATTACATTAATGTCTAATTTAACATTAACATGGAAAACTATTAAAATATGCACGATGTTAGATAAAATAGTAGTTAAGATATTCATTATAGCAATATGCACATATCCTGTCTGTCTGGTAATTACTGTATATTGTTTGTACACATAAAAAACAAGCATATACAAATCAAATACTACTAACAAAACTAAATACAAATAACCATAATATCTGATATATTTATTTTGTCGTATATTAAAGTCCCGATCAATGGATAGACCGTTAAATGTTAGGCCAATAATGCGATGAAACCAAAGCAATGGTAGTATTGAAAAACGTAGTAATTTATTAATAAACATGTTTTATTAAAATTAAACAGGATATTGATTAGTAATTTATTAAAAAATTTTAAATGTGATACATTAAGTAATAAATTAAAGTAAAACACTTGTGAATTTTACATTTGAATAGAATTATATTGAGTTGTTAAACTTAAATAGCCATGTAATATTTATTAGAAAAATATAATTCATTGGTTTACTATTATTCAAAAATAATGTTTTTCAAGAAATTAATTAATTTGTTTTTGTAGTTAAATGTTTTTATGGTTCAAAATAAATTGCTTTAATAACTCTATTATATCCAATCTTTTAACGTAAATAACATGTATGAAAATAACCGAACATAATTATTAAGTGTAATTATAATTAAAAGTATTTTCAATCTATTTGTGATTGATAAAATAATCAATAATTACGAAATGAAAACAATTTTTATAGTTTTATATACTGTATTTAATTTGCAATAAAAATGTTATCCATGACAAATTACATTATTGATTTTAAATAAACAACAATTGTAATTAAAATATTATAGATTTTAGGTGCAATAAAGTTTCTTAATAGTGTATTAAAAATACTTTAGAAAATTTAAATATTAAGATTTTTACCATAAAACAATCAACTGGCAAAAAAGTTATTTTGTTTAAACAATAAATATTTAACAAAAATATTTTTGAAATAAACACATTAATTCATGACGCTCAATTTTATTTTGATGTCTGAAATAGTATTACAGTATAATTCAATATGAATGCGAATATCTGTAATATAAATAGGAAATAAAATTAATAATGAATATTACGTTATCATTATATGATTGAAGTAAAAATATAATTTTTTAAAAACCGAAATAAGTGTTGATTTATTGATTTGAGCGTTAGGAGGCTATCAATTCGGTTTGCATACTGATAAAGATTGTCGTCAGCATTTGCATTCGGTAAGGGACATGAGTCGTTATCTGTATAGGGACACATTCACGCCATTCAACGCATCACTAATTTTATTACGTTTTGCACCCAAACTATCGCTTAATAAAAATGTAAAAATTGTCTCAATTATTAAAATAATAGTTTCCATGGTCAAAGTCTCAGGAAAAGCTTGATGCACTGCAACCTTTCCATATGATATAATAGTAAATATGCTAAACATGATTGATAATATTGTTAATACAATTTTTGTAATGATTAACCATTTAATATGATTGTCGATTAATTTTAATAATTTACTGGCATTCATATAAAGTGCTTTATTTTTTGCAAGTACGATGGTAAAATAATTTTTACCACAATTTACCCTTCGGTTAATAAATAATTGATCAATTAAATAAATTTATCACATGTAATTTAATTATTTTATTTATTAATATATTCAAATGTATTTACCTTTTATCAGTTTATCAATGCTACTCTCTATCTTAACAAGTTTATTGTAAAAAATGATTAAAATAAACCAGATTATACAACAATATGACCAATATGATGTAAATAAAATCATTTTAATTACTAACGAAATAGCACTCAAGCTAGAAATATTGTTAGATCTAATGTGACTCAGTATAAGAGAGCCGTATATAAATATCAATATAACCATCCATATGCATAAAATTGTAAAGAATTTCTTTCCTATTTGCTTTAAAGTAGTTCCCCTGATACATTTTACTATTAAATTAATATCTAACTTAACATTAACATGATACATTATTAAAATATGTAAGATGTTTTCTAAAATATATTTTATTGTATTAATTATAATAAGATACCAATGAGTTGCCTGGATTGTGATAGTTGATGTAAATATTCTATAGATTATAGATACCAAATAAGTAGATATTGACAAATAATATAATGCAAATAAAGCAAAAATAAGATATCCATAATATTTAATGCATTTATTTTGTCGTATATTAAAGTCGCGATCAATGGATAGACCGTTAAATGTTAGGCCAATAATGCGATGAAACCAAAGCAATGGTCGTATTGAAAAAAGTAGTAATTTATTAATAAACATGTTTTTATTTAAATGTTGAGTTGCTCAATTTAAAGATACATGTAACATACTAGGGAAAATGTTATTTATTGGTTGCCTATTTTACAAAAAAAAATAATTAATTCGTTTGTGTTGTTAAGAAATGTTTCTATGGTTCAAAATAAATTGCTTTAATAATTCTATAATAATGTATAAATCGTATCGAAATAACACAAAGAATATTATTAATAAAATATAATTATCATTGAAAGCAGTAAATGGCATCTTACAAAAAAAGCTTTCAAAAAAAGTTTTAAACTAGACATTATTTTTGCTGTATTTTCTAACATTAATCACAAATGCCATTACATTTATTTACAAAACATTACCAATAATGCAAACCACCACTCTCTTTATTTGATAACAATATATTTGAATAATCACAAATGCCATTACATTTATTTACAAAACATTACTAATAATGCAAACCACCACTCTCTTTATTTGATAACAATATATTTGAATGCCTTATGATAACAATAAACATATTATAAAGTATGTTGCCACTTAATGCGGGCAAATGCACAGATATGCACGCATTGACAGACTATGATTGAAAGTATTTTGAATCTATTTGTGATTGATGCAATAATTTAAATAATTTATAAATATTAAATGAATAAAATATGTAGGTCAATTTAATTTACACTTATTGAATGTTTCAATGAAAAATTATATTACTGAAGGCGAGGTGGCTTAAACCCAAAGTGGATTAAACCCTACCGCCCTCTCCCATACATTACGTGTCACGTGTCATTTGTACAGCTCATACAGAGGGTTCAAGCCACTTCGGGTTTAAGCCACCTCGCCTGCAGTTATTGATTTAAAGTAAAAAATAATTTTAATAACCTTATTATCTATTTTTCTATAACTTTAATTAACTAACAAAAGTGCAGTACTAATATTTGTATAATAATACTTTAGATACGAAAAACATTTTTAAAATTTTAACGTTAAACAGTTAAATAATAAATAGTTATCTTGTTTACATAAATAATATTTAACAAAAATAATATTTAAATAAAATAATAAATCGTTACATTTTTAATTAATTATTATAATAATTAAAATTCAATCGGGAATATTTTGATAACACAATCAATGTTAATAAACACATTAATTGATGATTGTAATTTGATTTTAATGTCTGAAATAGTATTACCGTAAGTTAATTTGATACAATTAATATTAACTAGTGGTCTGCAGCTTCAGGATGATTTTAACTAGGTGGAAAAGAATTTAATTAAGAATTATATTAAGTTAATTTGATACAATTAATATTAACTAGTGGTCTGCAACTTCAGGATGATTTTAACTAGGTGCAAAAAAATTGAATTAAGAATTATATTAAGATAATTTGATACAATTAATATTAACTAGTGGTCGACAAGTTCAGGATGATTTTAACTAGGTGCAAAAGGATTTAATTGCGACTTATATTAAGTTAATTTGATACAATTAATATTACCTAGTGGTCTGCAGCTTCAGGATGATTTTAACTAGGTGCAAATAAATTTAATTGCGACTGATATTAAGAACTTAATTTGATACAATTAATATTACCTAGTGGTCTGCAGCTTCAGGATGATTTTAACTAGGTGCAAAATGATTTAATTACGAATTATATTAAATTAATTTTAAACAATTAATATTAACTAGTGGTCTGCAGCTTCAGGATGAGTTTAACTAAGTGCAAAAGAATTTAATTGCGACTTATATTAGGTTAATTTGATACAATTAATATTACCTAGTAGTCTGCAGCTTCAGGATGATTTTAACTAGGTGCAAAAGGATTTAATTACGAATTAAATTAACTTAATTTGATACAATTAATATTAACTAGTGGTCGACAAGTTCAGGATGATTTTAACTAAGTGCAAAAGAATTTAATTGCGACTTATATTAGGTTAATTTGATACAATTAATATTACCTAGTGGTCTGCAGCTTCAGGATGATTTTAACTAGGTGCAAAAGGATTTAATTACGAATTATATTAACTTAATTTGATACAATTAATATTACCTAGTGGTCTGCAGCTTCAGGATGATTTTAACTAGGTGCAAAATGATTTAATTACGAATTATATTAAATTAATTTTAAACAATTAATATTAACTAGTGGTCGACAAGTTCAGGATGATTTTAACTAAGTGCAAAAGAATTTAATTGCGACTTATATTAGGTTAATTTGATACAATTAATATTACTTAGTGGTCTGCAGCTTCAGGATAATTTTAACTAGGTGCAAATTAATTTAATTGCGACTGATATTAAGTTAATTTGATACAATTAATATTAACTAGTGGTCTGCAGCTTCAGGATGATTTTAACTAGATGCAAAAAAAATTTTATTGTAAATTATATTAACTTAATTTGATACAATTAATATTAACTAGTGGTCGACAAGTTCAGGATGATTTTAACTAAGTGCAAAAGAATTTAATTGCGACTTATATTAGGTTAATTTGATACAATTAATATTACCTAGTGGTCTGCAGCTTCAGGATGATTTTAACTATGTGCAAAATTCTTGTGCTGCATGTAGTTTTTGTATTATAGAAGATTTTTTGCAAAAGTTGTGTATTTTGAGATCATATAAAACTGAATTATTAAAAAATCATTAATTAACCAAAAACTATATGCAGCACAAGAATTTTGCACATAGTTAAAATCATCCTGAAGCTGCAGACCACTAGGTAATATTAATTGTATCAAATTAACCTAATATAAGTCGCAATTAAATTCTTTTGCACTTAGTTAAAATCAATGTGCTGCATATAGTTTTTGGTTAATTAATGATTTTTTAATAATTCAGTTTTATATGATCTCAAAATACACAACTTTTGCAAAAAATCTTCTATAATACAAAAACTACATGCAGCACAAGAATTTTGATTACAGATTCTTAAACAGGAAAAAATACCTTGAAACTAATTTCAGGAGTTTGCTCAAAAATAAGTTTGAATTTAACATTATGTCTATGGAAAAAATGACAAAATTTGGATTGATTTGAGATTATTCCTAAAATAGGAGGTCAAGCATATTGACCATATCACAACAAAAACTCCCGCAGTTGATGAGTATTTTGATATAGCATTTGAATTTCTAGACCGAATACCTTTCGAGATATTCGACTTTGTAATGGTTTAGTCCATTAATCTCCACCCTGAATATTGTTCATATACAAAATAGATGAACATAAACACATCAAATACTATTAACAAAGCATAATAAACATAACCATAATATTTGATACATTTGTTTTGTCGTATATTAAAGTCGCGATCAATGGATAGACCGTTAAATGTTAGGCCAATAATGCGATGAAACCAAAGCAATGGCCGTATTGAAAAAAGTAGTAATTTATTAATAAGCATGCTTTAATTTAAATGTTAAGTTGCTTAACTTAAATAGACATATAGCAAACTAGAAAAAATGTCACTTATTTGTTTCTTATTATTCAAACAAAATGTTTTTCAGGAGAATAATTAATTTGTTTTTGTAGTTAATAAATGTTTTTTATGGTGCAAAATAAATTGCTTTAATAATTCTATAATAATGTAAATATTGTATGAAAATAACATAAAGAATATTATTAATGAAATATAATTATAATTGAAACAATTTTGAATCTATTTGTGATTGATGACATAATTTAAATAATTTATAAATATTAAATTAATATAATATTTATGACAATTTAATTTGCAATAAAATTTTTCCATGTAAAATTATATTAATATTTTTAAGTAAACAACAATTTCAATTACCTTATTATCTATTTTATCTATAACTTTAATTAATTAACAATAAATACTGAAATAATAAGACATATAATAAAAATATTTAAAGATTTTCACTATTAAACAATAAATGACAAAATAATTATTTTGTTTACACTAAAGCAAAATAAGTAAATCGAAATTAACTAGCTCACCATGTAAGCACTATATAGCAATACATTACTTTGTATGCTTAGCGTTGCCAGATATACAGGAATGGCCTGTATTATACAGGAATTAAGGAATATTGCATAGTACAGGGAGGTGTCATTCCTGTACATTGAAAAATACAGGAATAAATATTTTAGCAATAAACAATAAAAATACTAAAATATTCAAATTTGTTAATAGTAGTAGTCCTGTACACCCACTGCTCATTCACAATCTGAATTAATGCTAGAAATTATATGAATTTAAGCTTAATTCAATTCTAAAGACATTGTGTAAACACTCGAATTTTCGCAAAAATATGATTTGAAAAAATATAAATTTGAAATTTTAATTTATAAACAATGAAATACAGGAAATACAAGAATTTTTAGTAAAATTTTCACAATTATACAGGAAATCCAAAATATTTTCTGACAACTGTGGCAATGTATGCTGTGTATTGCTATATAGTGTTTACATGGTGAGCTAGTTAATTTCGATTTACTTATTTTGCTTTAGTGTAAACAAAATAATTATTTTGTCATTTATTGTTTAATAGTGAAAATCTTTAAATATTTTTATTATATGTCTTATTATTTCAATTAATTCCTGTATAATACAGGCCATTCCTGTATATCTGGCAACGCTAAGCATACAAAGTAATGTATTGCTATATAGTGCTTACATGGTGAGCTAGTTAATTTCGATTTACTTATTTTGCTTTAGTGTTACATAAATAATATTTAACAACAATAGTACTTAAATAATCTTATATAGGAAATTAATGATTATTGTAATTTAGATTTAATAGGGAATATTTTTACTACAATAACAATGTTAATAATAACAAATTAATAATTAATTATTAATTGATAATTTCAATTTTATTTTGATGTCTGAAATAGTATTACCGTATAATTCAATATGAATGCGAATATCTGTAAAACAAATAAGAAATAAAATAAATAATCAATTGAAATATAATTTTATGATTGATGTAAAAATATAATTATTTAAAAACCGAAATAAGTGTTGATTTATTGATTTGAGCGAATCCTCCGATAGTTAAGCCAAACGTATGACTATTTCTAACAGCAGTCTCCAGGAGATAGGGATAGACATACAGACAGATATAAAGAGGCAGACAATGAATGGGAGACAATGTATTTGGGGAGCAGACTCCGATAGTTAAGCCAAACGTATGACTATTTCTAACAGCAGTCGTAAACGTAAGCCATTCCCTGTACTCAGGAATAGACATATCCCTCACATTCACGCCATTCAACGCATCACTCATTTTAATACATTTATCGCTCAAACAATTACTCATTAAAAACGTTACAATTGTTTCAATTATTATTACAAAAATAGCGATGGTCAATATATCGGTCCTTTTATAAGATATTACTACGTATATACCAAACATTATTGATGATGTTATTAGTACAATTTTTACTATTATTACCCATAAAATATCATTGTCTAATGATTTTATTGTTTTATGAACGTCCATGTATAATGCTTTATTTTTAGCTAGTACCATGGTAATAGCTTTACCACTATTTAAATTACGATTAGCCAAAAATGCATCTAACATCATAAAACGAACATGATTTAATATATTCAGAATGTAAAATATTGTAAAATCTTTTGAGCCTTATGTAATCGGGTATACATGTACAATGTATATATAGTACAGCAATACATCACGTGATAACATAACTTCCAAAAGGTTTTGTGATGACTATATAAATGTACGTAAAATTAATAATGAATATATTTACCTTTAGTCACTTTATAAATGCTATTTTCTATTAGAACAAGATTGTTGTAGAAAATAATTAAAATGATCCAAATCATACACAAATATGACCAATATGAATTGAAAAATAATAGACCATTTAACAAAATTACAAAAGTAAACATAGTTTTTCTAGATGTAAAATATCCCATTATTATAGACCAGTTAAATGCTGTTAATATAAACATCCATATGCATAGAATTGCGAATAATTTTACCTTTATTTTATTAAAATTACTTCTCCTGAAACATTTTTCTATTTTATCAATATCAAATTTAACATTAACATGATAAACTAATAAAATATGCTCAATGTTTGCTAATATATTATTAATAATATGTATTATAGCAATGTGCACAGAACCTATCTCTCTAATGATTATTGTATATTGTTCGTATACAAAATAAATAAACATATACACATCATATACTATTAACAAAGCAAAATAAACATAACCATAATATTTAATCCATTTATTTTGTCGTATATTAAAGTCGCGATCAATGGATAGACCGTTAAATGTTAGGCCAATAATGCGATGAAACCAAAGCAACGGCCGTATAGTATAACGTAATAATTTATAAATTAACATATTTAATGTTGATTGAAATTAAGTTTTATAAACTACTTTTAATGTTATATAACTGTGATATATTAAATAATAAATTAACTTTAATACAGTAATATAATTTACAGAATATTTGTAATGTATTTATGAGTTACTCTAATTAAATAGTTATTTATTGTATATAAATTATTGTTGAAAATGTCATTTATTTATATCTTATTATTTAAACATTATGTTTTCCAAGAAGATAATTATTTTGTTACGATGGCACATACATAAAACTAATTAAATGTTTTCTTTGTTATAAATGTATTACAAAATCTATAATTGCATATATTTCTAAAGAATTTGAAATGTTAAATATAATTGCAACCATAATAAATTGTGATTAATTAAATAATTATAGTAATTTTTATTAACAAGTAAGAAATAAATATAATTAATTATACATTAGATTTTTATTTGAAAAGCATTTATATTATCTAAATAATAAAATAACTGATTAGACAAACAAAAAGTTTTTTCAATACAAAACTTTTTTCAAAAATATTATTTAAAATGTACACAAAATAGTTTTACCCTAATTATATGCACTTTAATTAATTTACAATAATATTTATAAAACAATTTGCAATATATTTAATGATTATATTTATTATGATTCACTAGAAATATAAATAAAATTAATTTGTATTGAATAAGCTATATTACCAATATACTAATTACTATTTGCATTTGCTCAGGTGAATTATTTGTAATATGTCAACTAATCCAAGTTGCGTATAATTATCTATAATAATAGTAACACTTAATTAGAATAAACAAAGTATTTATAAAAATAATGGCATAACAAGATTAATATGATTAGCACAATATATAGTAACATGAACAAATATTGTTATATCAAATATATACAAACGGATGTTATTATAGTAATTATTTAAAATTCGCAGAATTATCAACATCCTATTATAGAATGATATAACAGTGATTAAATATAAACAATTAAATTAAGTATTAAATTTTAAAATATTACCACAAACAATGTAAAATCGTGAAAAACTAATTAAGCTAAATAAGTATAAATACTCAAACATTTACTTCACAACATTTTAAACAGTTTTAACTATAATAATTATTTCATATATTAGTTAAACATGAACAAGTTAGTTTTAGTAGCTCTAGTAGCTTTATTTTGTGCAGAAAATGTATCATGCACATTTTGGTGGAGACATCCCATTGCATATCCGGCAATCCGCAACTGGCACGATTGCTGGAATCACTACACGCCTGATGAACGTACCTGGGTGAAAACAATGTTTTGCAGTAAGTACAATTTCAAAATCTATTATACAAACCTAAAATATAATGCCATCCATAAAATATTCTACATTATTTCACATTAACTAGGTGATTGTCCCCATATCAAAGGAGATTTGTATCGGTACAACGAGTGTGCTCAACATAACTATCCTGATTATCACAAACGGATACCCCTTTGTCGCCAACACTACCGCCGGAACCCAAATCACGGCCACAAACAGTGTTTCCAGGAATTCGGACAATTGATGGGCAAATTTACCGGCGGTTACGACAGGTTTAACTCGTGCTTTCGTAAACACGTTCGCCGTGATAATATTGCTAAATGTACTCGCTACGTTTACGAATGAGCATTTATTACGTGATTTAAAATTGTGCTTACTAATATTAAAGTATAATTATCAAATAAATTAATTCTATTGCATTAACATAACTTGTAATATAAATGTTAGGTTATAACATTAATTAAATAATTATTTAATTGTTTGAACCATTATTACTGTATAATTCAGTATAAATGTGAATATCTATAAAGCAAAAATGTAAATAATAATAATTTTAAAATATACTTTATATATCATTCTGTTATAATTAAATACCGAAATAAGTGTTGATTTATTGATTTGAGCGAATCCTCCGATAGTTAAGCCAAACGTATGACTATTTCTAACAGCAGTCGTAAACGTAAGCCATTCCCTGTACTCACTGTCAGACATAACCCTCACATTCACGCCATTCAACGCATCATTAATTTTATTACATTCATCACCCAATCTATCGCTTAATAAAAATGTAACAATTGTCTCAATTATTAAAACCAAAGTGTCCATGGTTAAATTCTCGAA